GCAGGAACCAAAGACTTCACACGCATTTCTCTGCCTCACTGGACAGAAAATGGGTCTTCTCTCTTTGCTGCACTCCTGACAACAGGCGAGTCCATAACACATTATTAACTCTCAGATCACCAGCTTGTGGCTTATACACCATTAATATTTTGTGTATGGCATGTGTCATAGGCATTTATCTAATGTTATATGGCATTTCTGACAGAGAAACTAGAACAATAAAAGTATCAACAAGGTGGATATTAGATAGGATAAAACCTGTCTAAAACATTTAGCAATTTGCTACCATAGGTTTGATGGGTTTCCTACTACAATAATTTTAAAACTGAGATTAGTCATTTTTCCTAAAAAGCATACCTAGCTCAAACAAGTGAAACCAAGGAAAGCTGATGGTCAATATCATATAACTTGTAGTAAATTACCAAAATGGTCTCTTCTGGTTTTATAATGTTGGAATAGTATGAGATCACATGCTTTTCATGCAAGCAGCAGCACAGATCTATGCAGCCTGCCCACTGCTGCAAAAGATCTTCAACACACTGGCTAATCTTCTCCACATCCTTTCTTCAACTCTTCATTCAAGACTTACAATTTCTTTTATACACTCAGCTATTTTCAGGACTTGGGGCTGGTAACTGTTGAAGAGATACACCTCCACTGAAATCAAAAGGGACTGGTCTTGTGATCGAAGTACAGAAGTTGACTTAAATGTTCTGAGAAAATGGAAGGGGGCGGGGGGGGAGAACTTATCACTTTTGCATTGAAATAAATGTTATTTTGCACCAATTTCCTGAAAATCAGATTTGGGTGCAACAAATAGGAAAATAGGAAAAGAAAAAGGAACAAGAGGATCAGTAAAATCAATTTGATTTTTAATAATCCAGAGATTCCAGATTAGATTGACAGAAACTTCCTAAAATACTCTCAAAGATGGGATGTAGCCATGTATTCTCAAAATTTTGCAGAAATAATTCCACTGAAATCACACCAGAAACAGAATGATGCCAGCACATAAGAATTACGTGTTTACAGTGTGTATTCCAAAGGCATTGCACTGTTTTAAAAATAGGAATAAAGAAATCCTTAAAACCAAAATAAACCAGTTTGGTAGCAAACTGCTTAAAATCAAACAATTAGTAAAACCAAGACTTGTCCCTCAAGGCCAGTTATACTCTGTTTTAAACAAAAATAAAACAGCTAGAAAGCATGGATAAAGTCTTTTCCCAGGACTATCTACTTCAGAGGTCACGTATTGGGGTGAGGAGGGATGGAAGAAACACTGCGTTAACCCAGTAAGCATTCAGTCGTAAGCAAAAGAGGAGATATAGAAGACCAGGGATGATACAAAAGAAAGATGTAGGCAGTGCCCCTCTAAAAGGAGCTAACAGATAACAACAATAAAAATGAGGTTTCTCTGGACAAAAAAAGTGTTGGCAGGCCAGCCAACGTGGACTCCACTGTACAGGCACTGATCTTGCACAAGGCAGGCATCACCTCCACCCTACAAACTGAGGTCGTTTAGGCCATGAAGCACAAGCAAAGCAGACATCCATGCAGCAGGGCAGGGGCTGAGGGATGAATTTCCAGGCCTTCTAGTCACATCCTCTCCCCACTCATCAGTCAGAGCCCCGTGACTGAATAATACTAACAAAACAAGCTCTTGTTTGGGTTGGTTGTTTGTTTGTTTTAATACAGAGCAACAAACAAAATAAAGGTTGGATCTGAATAAATAGGAACAGTCACAATAAGAACTGTGTGGCAAGTCATATTTCCTTAAAGGAAATCCAATGGCTGCACCGGGTGAGATCAGAGATACACCTAGCCCAGCAGTTTATCTCAGAGCAGACAATTGCAGTTGCTGAGGTAAGAGTATGAGGCAAAGTGTGTACTAATGGTCCCTCAGCATATCATCCCATCTCCTAAAAAGCAACAGCTCCGAGGGCTTCCTAAGCTGAGGTCATGGTTTTTAATAGCCCTAACTGCATCTGAATTCCATGAATACTGTCAAATAACATTTTGAATCCCTGTAACCTATTGGCACCCACAACATTCCTGTGAGAGTGAACTTCATATTTCAGCTATGCATTGCACAAAAAAAATCCTTTCCTCTTTCTTGTTTTGAACTTGCCACCACCAGCAGATGCACTGTGCATTTTGTGAACAATTTGGTAAACAGGGAATATCGTTCCTTATTTACTTTCTCTGTGCCACACATGCTGTTACAGATCCTTCCCTCCATCCTCACGTTCCCAGACTGAATAGCCCAACTTTATGTAGTTGTGACCTTTATGGAAACTATTCTAGACAAGCTCTTCCACACTTCTCATTATCTTGCAAGAGGTCTGTTTCTTGAGAAGAGGCTAAAATTGCAAAGAGAATTCAAGACTTGGGTGTGCAATAGCTTTGTGTAGCAAATGGTGATGTTTTGTTCTCTATTCAGTTTTTTAAAACTTTCACACACTGCTTGCTTTCTCGTCCTCTGCTGAACAAAGTGGGGTTTGGATTTTTGGTTTTTTTTTTTTTTTTAGAACTAGCAGTTGTAACTTCAAGTCAAGTCTGCATATATAAGTTAAGACTTACATGCTATGTGTATTATATTTATTAATGATTAATTTTGTCCATCAGTGTCGTCAGACATTGCTACAACCCCCTACAGCGATCTTTCATTTCTCCTACCCTGAATAATGCCAGTACTATCAAAAAACTTTGCCACCTCTGGAATCTCCTCCCCTCCCTGTATTTTCAAAACATTTGTAAGTTGAACATCACAGGCTCTTACAGATTTATTGGATCTCCAGTAATGTGTTCCCTCCATTGCAAAAATGGACAATGTATTCCTACTATTTGTTTCTTATTTTCTAATTAATTGTTACTGAGAAGCCTGCATATCTTATCCTATAATACTTAAGTTTCTTCAAGAGCCTTTGATGAAGGACATGCTCAAATGAGACTAACTAGCTTCTATCAAATGGGTCATCCTTGTCCATATGTTCAGTTACTTTTTCAAAGAAATTTTAGAGATTCTGAGTTCCTCTATGAACGCTATGCTGATTCTTCCCCTTTTTATCATACTTATCCATAAATCAAATGATTTAGAAGAGGTCCTAAGGAGCATTGCAGCTCCTACCAATTTCTCAGATGACGTATCATATTTATCACCTCGACTTTTAGGCATTACACCATCATTACTGGCTTGAGAGTTCTGTACTTTAGTTCTTTTAATTTGTGTGGATACCATCCGGTCCTGGTAATTTTCTACTGTTCATTGTTGCCAGTTTCTTCTGAAATCTCTTATAACACTTTTATTGGTAACAATCTTATGATATGTTCTTGACAGAAGAATATGCCGAAAATGGCATGTCCCTAAATACCTTCCCTACTTTGATCATTTACTAGTTGATTTTCTGTCATGATTTTCCCTACTTAAAGACAGCTTGAAAATGGCTTTACTAATAGTTTTTGCCAAATTGTTCTTCAAAATTTCTTTTGGCTTGCCTTTTTTGTTTATATGTTAAAATTGTTTATGCTTGATTTTCCTCATTTAGAAACAACTTCAACTTGAAGAAAGCCCTTTTACTTCTAATAAAAGTTGTCCTTTTAATAAGAGACATTGTCTTCCTCCTTCACCCTGCTGTTTAGTTATGCCAACCTTTTTTTGCTCTTTTAAAGCCTGTTTCTGGAAGTTGGCTTGCAGTGAGCTCCCATATTTAAACAATCTTCGTGACTCCTATAAACATGTTAAATTTTGGCTCTCTTTCTTTCTAAACAGTTTTCACTTTTTTATGTAGTTTCCTCTTTGAACTTAAACATTGCCATGGGAGATCTTTTTCCCCTTTTTTTGCTATTTCAGGAATACTGCATCTGTTAGTTGCTGTCACACAGGGGTTCTAGATGTATTTTGAACCAGGTCTTTCTGTCAATAAAACCAGCTCTTAAAATTATTTAGAATTACTTTTTTTTTTCAGGGTAAGCAAATAGCCTCCTTATAAGCAACCATGTAAAAACCCTAAAATTTTACTGAGAATCATATCCCCCCCCAGCCAGTCCATTTACCCAATCTCAGTTTCACAAATTGTGTCTCCCACTGTTATTGCATTTCTTGTCTTCATGCCCCGTTTGATCTTGTTTAGGTTGCTACAGGCAATGCCACTACTTAGGTAGGATAGTTGGTACTACAGACCTGTACTGCAATACTGTGGTGCTACGGTTCTACTTTTCCTGTTTAATCCTTTAATTTCAATCTGTAGGGAGTCTTCGCTTTTGTGATAGTTAATCTATGAGACTTGACTCTTTACTTCAAGACAAAAAAATCTTTTCTTTGACAGGCGTGACTTCACCTGTCTTTCCCACGTAATTTGTCATCCATGTGCCTGTCACATTAATTGTTTTTCTTCCACTAAGTTTCCAACATGCTTATTACAATGCCAATCAACATTCTTGTTTATAACCAGTAACTTTAGTTTCAACATTTTTTTTCCAGACTTTTAATGTTTGTAGTGAAACACACGTATTTGGTCCAATTGTCTGTTTCTTTGCTCTGGTTAAGTGGAACTCTAAGCAATTCCTATTTATTTGAGAATATAGAATTTGTTATACTTACAATTTTTTGTGGCACAGAACAGCATCCAAAATACCACATTTTCTGCATTCTAACAAGAGCTTCTCAGTTTTTCAGTACTTCAGCGTGGATAAGTACAACTCAGAATGAGCTCTCCTACCAGGCTCAACAAGGAAAAAATACTGTTCATGAGATTATGCACAGGAGCTTTAGCTGAATTTTTAGCTAGCCATTATTTCTGCTGACCTCAAAAAGTACAGTAAAAGTCAGTTAATATTAGTGAGAACCTCAAAATTTGACTCAATAAAAATTAGCACAACTCTGATTAACCTTGTCTAGTTCTCATGTGATATATGGCAATCTGTGATTGTAGTATGGGAAACATAAAGCAGGTTTACTAATAACTTGCCTCTTGAACTACCTTATCATATCTAACATAATTTCTAAATGGAAAGGGAACTGCTTAAGTCTAAACTCTACCTGGATTCAAATCCACAGTTCTGATTTATAGTGATTAAGTGTCATGAAGTGCCGTCAGGAGCAGTAAGGGTCTCTAAGCTCTCAAGAGCTTGTTCTAAAAACTCTCAGCATAACCTCCTGCATGGATTTACATGTTTTTCATCTGAGCTCCATCTGTGTTTCTTCTGCCTGGTTTCCAGTTACTCAAACTTTCTGAAAAAAACCAGTACATTTCATGCATGGATGGGGATGGGGTGTGTGGGTCTGTGTGTGTAGAATAGAGCTAGCCCCTATCTTAGATTTCATTCTGCTGATCAAAAGATTCAGAGAAGGAGCCTACTTTCTTCTTCTCCACTCTTCCAATCAGGAAAAGAAGGCCAAGTCAAACAGTGTCTTTAAATGGCCTAGAGGGAATGGGAATATGTTCACTTCCACAAGACAGGAACACATGTTGCAACAGTGCTTTGGAAGAAGCTGAGTTTTCTCTCTAAAAAGTAGCAGCATGCTGAGAAATCAGCATTAATAGGGAAAAAAAAAAAAAATATCATAAAGAGACACTGTAGCAATTTGCCTCTTACTTTTTCTCCAAAAAGTATTTTTTCACTATTTTTTCACCAAAACTACTCTAGACTTTATCGGAGAACCTAAGAAATCATGTATGTACTGACACATGTCAGGAAAAAGCATACACACCACATACACATGCTTTGCCAAGAATGAACAGCTTGGGGGAGAGATCAGATCAGAAAATACCAGGTGAAGAATAAAAAAGAGCAAAAAGCCTGTAAAGCTGAGAGCTGGAAGAGCTCAAGGAACAAAAAAGAAAAAGCCAGTCTGGAGAGTGGCATGTAAGTGAAAACTTCAATAATTTATTTGAAGCTGTTGCCCCCATCATTTTTTTTTTGCCTGATGACTCTGGTTTTCTAGGCTTAAAGAAAAGACTGGCAAGGGATTTATTTCAATGATTACAACCCCTTACATGGGGATAAATAAAGCTGGCCAGAAACTCTATTTTCAATGCAACGCAGATGACAGAAAAAAGAAGGCAAAAATAGAAGTTAAAGGGAATGCAGATTAAGAACAGATGGAAGGCACTTTTTACTCAGAGAATAAACATGACAAATGACTTATGAACAAGGTTGCAAGGAGGTCATTCAAGAAAAAAAATGTCATATCAGGGAAAAGCATGGGTCGGGAACAACTCTCCCCAATTTCAATGGGACTCCTACCTGAGGAATAATGACAAACATATGACCCCTAAAGGGTTCAGAAAAGTTGTCATGCCAAGATGTTATTCCTAAAAATATCCATGTACCCTAATTTACTTTCATTTTTAGTATAGATTACTTCCTGAATAAGCTCTGACTGCATGGTCTATTTTTAAATGCTTCTTGAATATGCTACCTTCATTCTCACTTTAAGATGTTTCAGTATCTCCAAGCACATGGCAGCATCATTAAAAAATGCAGAAGTTACTGGTACTTTTTCATGCTGTTTGTAACTCCTCACATGAGAGCTCTTTCAGGATCAGTTCTGACTGTGGAGTCAGACTCAAGTAG